AGTTAGAAATTCATCTTTTTCATCTAAAGTTAGTTTATAAAACATTTTATAGGGAATATCATGGTAAAATCGTATCCATTGAATTTTTAGCCAATTAACTTCGTTTTGGTCTGTATTTACTTTTCTTCTTGAAACAGATTTTTCCAATGATTGTGTTGAAATAAAATCTTTCTCCTCCATGTTGTGTACTGTGAAGGAATTAATTTCCAAAAAGGAATTATTTTCCCGCAATTAATTTCCTGAGTACAGCGACTTACGCCACTTTCAAAATAAACATGTTTGTCATATCGTTAATTAGCAAAACTTCTCTCGAACAAATCTCAATAGTTCTCAACTTATTGATTGCAAATTTTTTAAAAATGTAAAGATACCGTTCAATTGTAATTAGTGTTACCATTAACTCGATTTTTTTGAAAAAGTGACTTATGCCACTTTCAAAATAAACGGCCCATACATTGCATCTACTTATTTTGTCATAAATGCATAAAATCCACAGTCTAAAAATGCGAAAAGTCAAAAGTAACTTGCATAAGTTAAAAAGGTGCTACATTAGTGATTCCAGAGCAACAGTATTTATTTGCTAAATTAATTGTTCTGATATCTTCACAATGAAGGCTGGTCAATGTTAACAATATCGCGTCCAGGAAAAGGAAACAGGGTCTCTAAATGTCATACCCGCTTGAGCACGACACAGTATCGTTTGCAGTGGGTAAGTATCCTTACTCTCTAGGATGTGCCCGGAGTAACTCAATCCTGAAAACTGGCGATCGTGGCCTGTCGTGACCGATGAAAGTACACTTGGTATTGAGTTACGACACACTTGTTTCGCTAGGAATTCTACGGTCGTTGAGTGCGCCACACGTGCTCGAAAAATGCGTCAGCAGCCGCGCGCTATGTGACTCTAATCTAGATAGATTTTTTATAAAACTTCCAAGCTGCTTTGCTTTCAACTCTAACATTTTCACTGAGTCACGCGTACGTTCATTCTCCCGCAATAAAATAATATTTAAATTTTAATAGGTTAAAGGTTCGATTTTTAAACGGCAAGTTTAACACAAATGAGCATAATATTCTTAATCTATTTATGTACATCGTTTGCTTAATTTTTCTAGATTGAAAAAATTTTCATCGAGAAGTTCAAAAGCGTTCGGTGTTTTATTTATCAAACAAAAGAAAAAGAAAGATCGGACGAAAAAAAAGGAGAGAAATAATTTATCAGTATGATAATGGCAAAGGAAGTATCTCTATGACCACTTGAAACAATGCTGTATAAAGGAATTGACGATAAGCAAAAATTGGTGTCTACGCATTCTTTTCAGAGAGCTTTTCTGAGAGCTTTGCTCTAAACGCATGTGAACCAGTTTTTGTCTTATTTTTACCTTTTAATTGTGACTGAGGATTCTAAAAAAAATTCTGTTTCTTCTCAGGGTTCTTAACCACACGTATTGAAGAATTTCTCAGATTTTTCATTCGCAAACTCTGATCGTGAAAAATGAAGTTCAACTCGACTCAAGGTACATAGATTGAGAATAAAAACGGTAAAATGTTGAAGATAGCGGTTATTTTGCTGGTTATTGTTGGTTTCACTAAATGAAACACTCGATACAAGGATGGATGGTACGCGACGGAAACTCAACATGGCCGCGAAACGTTAATTCAGGACAAGTGTCGCAGGAAGCTCGCGTGGGTTACATAAACAAGCGGCAGGAGTTTGCGAGTGGCCGCTTAACGGAACGAGCTAGCATCCAGTAGACACGTGCGTCTTTTGCCGCGGAATTTTCCCAGGAACACAGTCGGGGCAGACTGTAAAACGATCCATCCGAGTTGTTCCCGGAAAACTGGACCGAACTAGAGATGTGCAGGCTTCCTGGGAAGAAACGGCGCACATCCTGCGCCCCCATTGTTCCAAGCCACGAGTAGGCTTACAATCTGCGACGACCGTCGCCCACCCACGAATCGAATATTCATCGAAATATTAATGGCACTGACCCCGTTAAGACACTTATATGAGACATGTACGTGAAAAGAATTGCGCGAAAAAATCGCCGAAGTATTTGAAGAAACAAGAATATGAACATTTCAATTGTTTTGAGTCTTACAAGCAACAAGTATGTGCCGCCTAAACTGTAGATTGCATTTAAATATATAAGAAAAATGTGTGAATCAAATGTAAAACATTTAAAGAGTTTAAAAATACTGTCGTATTGCTTTCAACTTTCTAAAATGATTAGAAAAAGAAGTAAATGTGTATGCAGCTTCTGCAGCTTGCAGTTACTGTAGACAATTTTTATTTTGCATAGAAATCTGTAGTCTAGTGTTGCCTTAGGGAAATGAAAAAAGTTTGAGATTATTTAATCATATCCTGGAAGCATACAACGTAGTTAAATAATTGAAATAATATTTAATCATATCCTGGAAACATACAACGTAGTTAAATAATTGAAATAATATTTATTCAATTATTCAATAATAATTGAAAAATCTGGAACAATGGCGGTAGGATCAATGTTAAATTCAGTGATTTAATCTTTGTGCACTGTTGAAAACATTTTTATTCTGGAAATTGAATTGGTTCTGGTCCATTATAGCATGATATGAGTTATTGGTCCATAAATCTAATGCATGGGGAAAATTGATTTATGTAAATTAAAAGTTTCCAGTTTCCTTGGATAATTCTAATTTATATATACAGGGTGTCCCATTTTAATCACTACATGCGATTATATCCAGAACTATTTATTACTTGAAATCCAGTATCGTTATTTTGTTCGTAAGTGTAAGCTTGAAGGACATATGAAGTTAATCATTATTTCTTTTAATGGAATCATAATTTTTTGTACACGATTCGATGTATCTTGGAATTTTGAATAAAAATGTATAACCTACTTATGTCGAAAAACTATTACTTTGGTAGATATTTTAATTTTAATACTACGAATTTTTTATGGGGTTACGTGAAGGAAAAAGCTTTTAGCCATCAGCCGACAAGTATTGAAGATATGGAGGTCCATTCAAAAGTCTCACAATGGAACTCATGAATATGGGTAACGTATTCGAACATTTGTAGACACATTAATATGTACGCAGTTTTCGCTGCTTGACTCTTCATTTTTTTTTTTAATAAAATGATATAAATTGTTGCAATTATATCATTATTTTGTACATCCTAGAAACAAAAATGCCAAGTGTTATTGAATATTACGCAAGTGTATACATATACTAATAATAGAGATTTACAATATTAAAATAAAAATATCTCCCAAAGTAATGACCTTCGTGTGTCCTTCAAGCGTACACTTACGAACAAACTAGCGGCACTGGATTACGTTTCCTTCGAAATAAAAAATTTTTGTATGAAACATTTTTTCGAAGTTCTGGAGATGGGACATCCCGTATATGTATTATAAAATACTGCTGGATATTGTATCCATTTGTTATTTGGTAAATTTTTTACCACCTCTGACAGGGATTATTTATCGTTTAACGCAATAAAAAAAAATACACAGGGAATCCGTACGCGACAAGTGTTGTCAACGGAATAATCGAATGTATGTCACAGAATGAAAAAGTTAAGTCTTTCCATATGAAAGTAAACTGATCGATCGTGTTGTGTTTATCGTGTTGCGTGCTACTAATCATTTCCGATAAAAAAGTTGTGTAGAATATTGACTCAGATTTGAATGCCATAATTGCAAACAAACGTTATCTGCAAATGTTTGGCAGTTCGATTAACACTTAATACCGTTTAGCTGAAGAATGACATCATCATTTACGGAGGGAATCTGAATATATTATATACAAGAAATGACGAGACAAAATCAGAATATGTTATATACAATTTACAGATAAACAGTTGATGAACGAAACTTCGTCTCGCGATAAATCTAAGCGAATTATTGAGACCAATTTATCCCTAAATTACTTCACGTCTAGTTAAATTTATTAATTTATTTCTTCAAAGACGATGTCAATCAATTCTTGCAACAATTAAAATCAAATTCTGCATATTTTTTAAATACTTCTATGACGAAGACAATTTCTGCTACAATATACATTATAATAAAATATTGTCATTCAACATCTTGGTAATTTAAAGATAACACGAATACATAATATTAATAAAGGTTCTATAAAATAATTTGATAACGTTGCTTACGTTGAACAATATCCGTGTTTGCGACATTTTGTTATGACGCTGGTAGTACTTGGTAAAAGGGGATTAAAAATAAGCGACTGAAAATATCGATTTAACTGACATTAAAAAACTGTGTAATTAATAATATGCACGCTAAAACCGAGCGACCATCAACAAATCAAAGTTACCTTTAACACCGACAATAGACGAAAACATTTTGCATTATTTGCTGTTGTCAGTAATTTACGTATGCAAAACATATCGAGCTTCTAGCCATGGATGCATTGGCGTAAGAACTCCACCGTATTATAAACGTGGACGCGCAGATGTTCGATATTCAATATTATTATCCCGTGTATCGGGAAGAACCTGGCGATAACGCGCGCAGGCGAAACTGTCATCGAGTTTGTCAACGGAGCCGGATTTTCTATCGAGCAGCACTGGCATCGATGAAAGTTCACGTGTTCATCACGTGCAATTAAATGAAAATCATGTCCAGGGAACCGCGAAACAGAGACACGGCGAGACGCTGAACTAAATATGCACCCTTTAAAAAATTCTGTTAATCCATCAAATTGTGATTAAGATTCATAATATCAGTATTTATGTAAACATTGCGATCGCGTTCGGGTCACATAGAACATCAGTATATTATCGTTATGTGGTTGCGAAGTACAGCGATTTCGAAAATTGCAACATCACTATCACTACGCTGCAAAAAAGATCGTGGAACGCTCGTGGTATAGATTGAACTCGTTCGAAGGTTGAACACTCGCGGCCGAGATTCGTCTTGGCAAACAGGACGCGGCGCGATAGAGACAACGCATTGACAGACATCGGGGGAAAAAGTAGAGAAGCAGCTTACCGAAATATTTGTCTGGCTCCAGGCCCGAATCTTTGTCCAGTCCGCATATGACAAAATAATCCGCGAACCTCTGTGGATGTTGCTCGGGTCCGCGCATTATTCCCAGGCTCCCGTTCATCTTTTCCGGATACGAATCGGATTTGGCTCACCGGCACGGAACACGAAACACCCTCACGAAAACGATTTCCACATCGTGAACCTCCACGAAACTGTCATTTCACGGGAGAGCGAAACAACAGCTGATGTTGACGCGAACCGAACGCAACGCACGACTCTGCGGAGTGCGGGCCTCTCGCCGCGAATAATTGATCTTTACTCGGTACCATGAAGTTCGCTGCGAAACGATGCGCGCATACCGGCGCCGATGATGGCGCGGAAATTTGAACTATGGAGCTGAGATTGAAACTGATTGAACGATGTTTTTCGTTAAGAATGATATCAAGCTGTAAATAAGTACAAATATTTTTTTAGGTATAAAGTTCCTCATCACTAAAGATCATGTTAAATTAGTTAAGTTAATAGACAAGTTTATAATTAAATAAGTTAGATATTGTTAAGTTACTACAATTAAGTTAGAACAATAAAATTGTTATACTTTAATGTCAGCGCCAAGGTCCAGACCTATGGGCTTAAAGTAGTCCAAGTTCTCATTGTAATCTTTATGTGAATAAAAAGTTCTTACAAAAAGAAAAACATAACGCGTTAAAAATGCCGCAATCAATATTTTCATTTCAGAAATCACTACATTTTGGTCCTACACCTTTCTCAGGACACCTTACATTATCTTACTTGTGTGGATGTCATAAAAAATAATTGTACGCGTGAAAATAATTTAATTGACTGTGTATTTTGTATTGGAGCGTTCAAATTAGAATTAGATGTCAGTCAATTAAAATGTTTAATCCAAGAAAATATAGTTCGATTTGATAAACAATCTCTAAGAAAAAGAAAAAGATTTTTATAGAGAATGTTAAGTAACGTACAAACTCCATTCTTATATTTTTATTACTATTTAAAATTAAATAGATTTTTTACTGATAGATAACGAAATGTAATCGAAACCTTTTTCTTTAACAACATTATTTCAACAAATTGTCATCACATCTTTTGTTTTATTTTCTCTCACTCTCGAATCTTAATTTATTTTAAGAATTTCACGGCATTCCTTATTCGTTTATACCTGCTAAAATCCGATTTAGGATGGAACAAAATGAACTTTATGAAACATTGGTAATACTGGAGAGAGGTCTGTTACGCCATCTGCATAATTGCAAAGTGCACAAATGTTTGTTCACTCATGGACAGGTTAAGACTCCTGTGACTTGACACGAATTTCTTAAAATACGATTGCGCTGTAGGGGATTTTAGTATTTTCACATTTTTACGGATGATGGAGGAGGTTGACAATATTATTATTCATTCGTTGCGTCAAATAGGCTGGTGAGTTCCGTTCAGCATGTTTTCGGAAAAGTTTTATCTCGTTTGACATTCGATGTCGACTGAGTTTTGTTACGATCAAAAGTGGGCGGTAATGTTTGTTTGAGTCGAGCGTGATATTTTTCAACAGCATTTACCTACTTGTTTTTCGTTGAGATTTCGAAATATTTGTACCATGTACACAGACGAGAAACTTAAACTCTAAAAGGCTACGAAGTCCATCTATATTTTACCGGCTAATTTTGATAATGTTTACGGAAGAATAATAATTAATAAAATTTAATATTAATTTTAGAAAAATGTATGTGATATTATTTTGTACTTCAAATACATTTTAATAATGTATTTATTGAAATAAAAATATAATTTCTATTTTACAAATAACCACTAATTTTATATACATGTTATTTACATATACAACTTTATGTCTAATTATTAACTAAATTTTAGTGACATAGAAGAGAGTATAACAAATCTGGGTGGTTTTACTACAGAGCTAGTGGTAGAAGCAACAGTAAGATGCTTAGATATAATAAGGCCAGGTCTTGGAGTATCCATAGTTTTACCTATGAATATGGCAGCCCGTTTTCGATTGGGCGCAACACTTGCTCAAGCATGTTCGGTAAGATTTCAACAAACAAAAACCATTGTAATCCAAACCACCATATTTTTGGTTTTCATTAATATCAGTTCATTAATTCAGGACTTAGGATACAAAGGTGATATTGGTTACCAGACATTTCTATATAGTTCAGAAGCTGATCTGCGAAGAGTTTTCATGTTCCTCATTGAAAAGTTACCAAAAGAACATGACAAGACTATAAATGAACCGATTAGCAATGTTGCATTATTAGAGAAGTCTATAGCTGCAGCAATATCGCAAGGCCTTTCCGCCCCATGGTTGCCACATTATTGTCATACAAAGGGATTTAGAAATAGAGGCAGAGCAAGTGTCCCTTATGTATCTGTAAATATAGAGGTACCAATAATGAGCAGTGATGAAGGTAACAATTAACATACACATGATCTAATATTACATTTGAATGCTTGATCAGATTAGATAAAAATTTCAATTATGCAGAATATCAAGACTATTGCATACACTATTTGCAACCTGTGCCTAAACAAATGCAAAATCAACAATCCTTTTTACCTTCTTTGATATCCTACAAAGCAAGAGCACATCATACTCAATCCACGAATATTATTGATCGAATAAATTGGTTAAATAAAGTACATAGTGAAAAGATTACCGACATTAACACATCGAGCGAAGTCAATGTTCTCAATAGGATTTCGATAAAAGAGACGACGAAAATTATTAAAGTAAGCTTTTTAGAAATGATGTTAATGTCTATAAGCATCCATTACTTCAAAGTACAATATCTTACTTCACCATTCAGATTTTTATTTTATATTTAGCAATCTCATGTAAAGGGCGAGGATACTTCAGAATCTACATTATCGAAACAAGAAAACGTAAACAAGATGAAAAAACAAGAATTAGAGGTAGAGAAAATCAAAGTAGAGTGTGAAAGTCTTAGAAGTAATATGGAAGAGTTGCAAGATGAAATTAAAAAATTAAATACTAGCTTAACGCAAGTAACAATCAATTATCAAAACGAGGAAAAAGAATTGACGATAAATGAGGAACAGAAAAAGATCAAAGTTCGAATTTACGATTTGCTGCAAGACGGTGAAGAAAATATTAAAAAATTGGAAACGACAATCGAAGCCACCACGAACAAATTACTTAGTCTAGGCAACCAATGGGAGAAGCATAGAGTGCCACTGATTCAAAAATATAGGCAAGAAAGAGAGAAACACTCAACGAAAGCTGTGAGTATTATCTTGGTAGCCAAGTGTAATAATGAAATTCTATATATCTAACCCTTAAATTTGTATGCAGAGTGCAAGCCAAAAAAAACTTGACGAAATTAAATTGTTAAAAGAGAAGGGAAGAGAACTTCAAGAAGAATGCCGTAACAAAGATCAACAATACTCGCAATTGGTCGCTGAAGTTCAGAAGCTTCCTAAAGAAGTCAATAGATCGGCATACACTCAACGAATTTTAGAAATAATCAATAATGTTAGGAAACAAAAAGACGACATCAATAAAGTTCTAGCTGATACACGAGAAATCCAGAAAGAGATTAATACGCTTACGGGTAGAGTGGAGAGATCGTTCACGGTGGTCGATGAATTAATATTTCGAGATGCAAGAACAAACGAAGCATCGAGGAAAGCTTATAAATTGTTGGCTACACTTCATTCTGATTGCAGTGAACTTGTAAATTTAGTCGAAGAAACAGGTGCCACTATACGAGAAATCAGAGACTTAGAAGAACAGGTAAATAATAATTCAACAAATATTAAAAATCTAATATTTGTTTTCATAATTTTACGTAATATATATGTTACTTTCATAGATTGATTCTGAATCTACGAAAAATGTCGGAGCAAATTTGGAGAGAATAACTGCTGATCTGAAACAAATGAAACAAGAAACAGCAGCATTAACTGCACAATTGCAAAATAAATCGTCGTGATTGTTATATAATTTATGGTATAACAGTACATGTCGTGATTACTGCGATCAGGTAAAGATAAAATGAATTTAAAAAAGAAATTAGTAAGATTTTTTATATAATTAGTGAAATCATATTGTCATGTTTACAGAACATTCCTTGCAAACAAATGAAGTTAGGAATACGACGACCAAATTTTCTAGTACTGTAAGATCTGAGGCACACACTAGCTGCCTATAATGCAGTCCTTTTAAGTCGATTGAGACTTAATTGTTGAATATGTACCTTGGTCTGAAATTATGTAATTTTAAATGTGCTTAAAATTTGGCCAAGTGTATGGACATACACTCATTCGATACTAACGCTCAAAGGGGACGTTATTTGTTACAGAGCCTAATAATTTTTTAGCATAAAATTTAATTATACAATTAACTTTCATATTTCTAAGGATAAGCGGCTTTGGAGAAACCCTCCTATAAACGTATGTAACACACATATAACAAGAGAAAAGAACTCTTCTAAGTGAATATGTACAAAGTATGGAAGAGAGAGATAAATAATATGTAATATATTTTTATTGTCTCTTACCATGTTCATCCTTTCAAAAACAAATTTTGTTTAAACGCAATTTATTAAATAATTTTTTAACTACAATATTATTCATCAATTATGAGAGCGTCAGACTTAATTATTGTATTTTCAAAATGTGGGTGGTCTGTATACTTCTTTTTCCTTTAATTTTCTTAATTTACGTTCTGCACCATGTTGCTTAAGAACACGTTCCATTTCTTTTTTGTCTGCTTTTTCTAGTTCCTCTATTTTCAATTCTATCTCTTCTTCATTATCAAAAAATGTCAATAGTCTTTCCTGCTTAGCCAAAGACTTCTTGATTTCCTCTACATTCTTTAGTCTAACTTCACGATTATGCATGTCGTTTTGTTTCTGTAACACTATTTCCCTTTTCTTTATCCAATCATTGTATGCCTGTAATATCAAAAAGTGTTTAAATAATTACATAATTATTTGTTTAAAATACTTTTCATTTCTTGGTTTATATACCTTTAATTGCTCTGCTATATCTATATCTGCTTGTTTATCAACAGCAAATTTTACTTCATTTTCTATTGCTTTAGTTAAACTGTTTTCACAAAGTTTTTGAGTTTTCAATTTGTCAAGTTTGAGCATTACATTTTTTATTTCTTCCTCAGGTATACTTTCATTATCTTTCTGTATCAAATCAAAAACTTCTTTATATACAACATCATCTTTGACATCTTTCAACCATTCTTCTATTACATTTGATACTTCTTCATACTTTTTATATAATATTAAACCTCTTAATTGACATGTTCTTCCTAATGTGTTACACATAAGTTTCCCATAAAAAGCCAAAGTTTTTCCTACTAAATCACGTGGATCTGTGAGATCAAAATGGTCATCAAAGTACTCATTTTGAAGGTAATGTACACGTACTTTAATTTCTTCACCAGTATCTTCCTCTGGCTGTGGTTTTATCCAAACTTCAGGTTTTTCTAAATATTTATAACAAGAATAAATGGATAATGCATTAGTTATTGGATTGGTGTTGTCTTCTTGTAGCATAGGTAGTACAGCAATTTTTGCAGCACTAGCATAATCTTCCTTTTTTAAATATGTATCCATAAGAATATTATAACACTGATAATCTGGAAAAATTCCATAATTAAGTCTGTCATGCAAAACAGTCACAAGTTCTTCTGTTAAATCATTATCCAATAAGTATCTAATGGTAGCGTGATGCGTCGACTCCAATGTATTCGTTGTATCGGAGGTTAACCTCAAATTATAAATTGTGGACAACAATTCTTCCACCTGTTCTTTGTCCTGTATTGTATTTGCAAATAGATCAACGTCGATCGCGCTATATTTGCCAGTAATAGAATATTTATGATCTATCTCTATGAAAAAACTATGGGGTTTAATTTTTTGCAATAATGGAGACTGAAGTCGTGCTTGCCATGCTTCTGTGCACCGGTACGCTTCAGCCAAAAACGATCTTCTCGATACTATTGTCTGTTGAAACACACGGCAACTTTTCCTTCCATATTTCAATGTTTTCAACATTTTCCACCGAATGTATTTTTAGTGACACATAACTTTTGAAAACAATTCTTGCGGATGAAAGTCTCGCTTAGCTTCTATTAGATTATATGGTTACATTCATGCCGTTATGCCTCACCATAATACAGTAGTGCCTCACCATAGTAAGCCAAGATAGGGGCAACTGACTTAGAATTATGAAGCAGGTAGAGAAATCTGATTGGTTAACGCTTCACAACTAAACAGTGCTGACCATACAATTCTAGACAAGGAGAGGAAGTGGCGAGTGAGCAGGAGAGCACAACCGCAAGTGAAACAAATCACACCAACGATCAATGTAGCTTGTCTCGCTAAGTCCCGGGTTACCGCACACTATGACGACCCACACATAGAAGAAAACCATATGCGTATATTAGTTTTAGAGGTTTATATCAAGTAAATCTGACGCTTTAATATCGAAATGTACAGTTCGTAAGTGGAAAATTTAGATTCCCAAAAGACTAAACTGGGGTGCTTCGAATGTAGAAATATCCGTTTTGCAGTTATTGCGGAGATATTTACAATATTCGGCCAGAGTGGTGTCAATTCACGAGCAAGACGACACAAGATGGCCGCCGCTAACAGTTTTTCGCAAATATCGAGAGATATAGAGCTCGAATCGAAAATTCACAACCGAAGACCCCGAGATAAGGCATGTACAAAGGCAGTGGAATGTATTTTCAGTAGATTACTTAGTTAATTAAGACACACGATTACTTGATGTGAATTGTGTATCGGAAACACCATCTCGAGCTTCCGACATTCTTCACTACTAGCGTCACAGTTCTCTTCCAACCAAAAGATGCACCACAGCGAGCTTGCCGGTAACTATAGTTACTTACAGTCGATAATACAGATCGA